TGTCTTAAATGAGTTTCAAATATATTTGAATAAAATATTGAGTTTTAAGACAATTCTGAAAGACTTGAATCACTTATCACTTCAAGACATCCAAAGACTGGAAGTATTGGATAATAAATTTAATGTCATTATAACTGAAACGGCCGCTCATTATCACAAGAAATCGCTGATCTCTTTCAATGAAGTGCCGGAAGAGACCAAAGATGTGATAATAACGGCAGACATTGACAACACATCCAATGATTTTGATTTCATGAGTGAAAGACAGACACAAATGATACCAAAGAGTCTGCCATTGAATGCATCGACAGATGTGTTGACACAACACAACACAACCCAAACAAACGCACACTTCATAACACTTCCAATGCTTTTGTGTCCCGTCTCTGGATGTGGTCTAACCTTTATTACTCAAAAGTTTCTCGACATTCATCTCCAGAAACACACTTCACGGACATCACCGCCGAAGAAGAAGAACTCATTGAACACTCGATATAAACCTACAGCGGAAGACCTGATTCTGCGGCCACACGTGTGTCCGACATGTGGGCGAAGGTTTAAGCTGTTGAGATATATGACTGAACACATCCAGTGTTTCCACACTCGGGCCGCAATCGACCGGCCGTTCATCTGTGAGTACGACGGGTGCGGCAAACGATGGCCAACGAAACTGAGGCTTTTGGGACACATTTCAACGACCCATAAAACACAGAACACAAGCGGCAAAACAGTCCGTAAGAGAGCGGACACCGAGAGCTCCACCACTTATTCCGACGATAATACTTGCGATGGACTTGAAATGAGTGATAGCCAAGAGTTTCGCGACATTCATCTCCAGAAACACACTTCGCCGACATCACCGCCGAAGAAGAAGAAGAAGAACTCAGAGAACACTCGATATAAACCTACAGCGGAAGACCTGATTCTGCGGCCACACGAGTGTCCGACATGTGGGCGAAGGTTTAAACAGTTGAGATATATGACTGATCACATCCAGTGTTTCCACACTCGGGCCGCAGTCGACCGGCCGTTCATCTGTCAGTACGACGGGTGCGGCAAACGATGGCCAACGAAACAGAGGCTTTTGGTCCACATTTCAACGGCACATAAAAACCAGGACATAACCGGCAAAAGAGTCCGTAAGAGAGCGGACACCGAGTGCTCAACCACTTCTTCCGACGATAATACTTGCGATGGACTTGAAATGAGTGATCGCCGCGCGGAACGAGCCAAGAACTCACCACAACATTCAACACTTGAAATGAAGTCTGAAACGGATCCACACGTGTTGAACGCGGATAGTGACGGTATCGATACAGTGACCGCTTCTTCAAGTAATGAGTTGTCATTAAAACCCATTCACGAGACAACACATGCCGTCACGAAATCCACCGCCGCGTCGGTCGATGAGGAGAGACCACACGTGTGTCCACACAAGACATGCGGCGCAGCCTTTAAAAAGAAAGGACAGCTCAACGAACACATCCGAGCCATCCATTCGAGTGATAAACCGTTTGAATGCAAAGACTGCGGCAAATGGTTCCCAACGAGGACTCGCTTAGGAGGCCATCAAATTCGTAGTTGTGATAAGAAATGGCGTGTCGTGTGTTCGGCCCCGGGATGTGAACAACTGTTTAAATCAAAGTACGGTATGAATGAACACCGACTGAGAGCGCATATCGGGGACCCATACGAGTGCAAGCATTCCGGGTGTGGACAACACTTTGATACCAAAGAGATTTACGATCAACACTTGTCGACACATTCCTCTGATAACATTTCTGGTGAACCCGAGGAGTGGCCTGAAACGAGTCCAGAAGACACACAACTATTTAATGATACAGAGAATGAGAGTATTGATTCATTGAGCTCTGCCTCAAGAACTAAGCGGTCCCCGAAATCCAATCGCAAGACAACACATACCATCACTAAACCCTCCGCACCCGTCGATGAGGAGCGGCCACACGTGTGTCCACACATGTCATGCGGTCGGCCCTTCAAATCCATAAGTCATCTCACGGAACACATTCGAGCCATCCATTACAGTGATAAACCTTTTGAATGTAAAGGCTGTGGCGAACGGTTCCCAACGAAGACTCGCTTACGAATTCACGAACTACATGCGATCTGCGGCGGTGAGGGACGGCCACACGTGTGTCCACACACGACATGCGACCGTGCCTTCAAATCCACAAGTCATCTCACGGAACACATTCGAGCCATCCATTACAGTGATAAACCTTTTGAATGTAAAGGCTGTGGCGAACGGTTCCCAACGAAGACTCGCTTACGAATTCACGAACTACATGCGATCTGCGGC